ATGATTTGACCAGTCTTAAGGGTCCGAGTTTATGTAGAGTTTTGGGTCCAAGTACCCAGTTCTTGGGATTTGAGTACCACTTGTTTTAGTTAAGGCATTGGGGAAATTATTTGGTACTTTGACCTTTCAGGTGCAGTGTTAAGGGAGTTGATAGTCAAAGGCGTGCCGCGCTTTCTCTTCTACTGAAGGTACTGTCTCTAACCTACGTTGAAGGCTGAGTCAGCGTGGGAAGCTGGAGCCATCAACGTTTCAGAGATACACGAACTTGACATAACTTGACGACAGCTGACCCCACATCCTTACAATGCAGGCTCCCTCAGCACTTGAAACACGAGTCCACCAAGTTAAAGCAGAAGGGCCCCATCTGAGCTACAGACTAAACTCCTTAAAGGGGGTTATATAGGGGATCATATTACAGGACTACTATCGGTGTTGTTAAGGGGGATACTAGGAGTTCAGACTACAGCTCAAATTTCAAAACCCTAAACCCTGAAACCTAAACTGCACTTGCTCTGCTGGAGGAGATGGTTCGTTTCGCAGGTGGTGGCATCTGGTGCGCAGAGCTCCGCGGACCTCAAACCTGGAAACTATCCATGTCGCCTCAGCAGTGGTATGTTAAAATGGGGTTTAGCGTTTAGGGTTCATTTTGCAATGGTTCTTTCACCCTCAATTCCTATATAATCCTTATTATAGGACCGCCAAGCCTACTGTAGCAAGTCCCGTGAGTCCATCCTAGAATCCTAGATATAATCGCAATAGATTACTGAAAAGACAAGAATGATTTGGTAGTTTGCATTTTTGGTGCCTAAGTCCTAAATGGGTCTCTTGGCCCGCACTTGTTGATTGTGAGCAGAGAATGGAGCGGTACGCAAGCGGCAGTATCGTAATTCCGATCTTCTGGTGCATTTTTCTTTTCCACCTAACAACCCTTCACCGTCTTAACCCCATATGGCAGCTTGCGTTTCCTTTTTGATTCCTTCATTCCCTGCCAATCAACCAGTGATGGATTGGGTCCTGCAGGTTCTGATGACGGTTGCTCTCACGGACTGCATTATGGCAATGCCGCTTGGAGCGTCATGCGACTGTTTTTTTCTTTTTTTTACGGGAGGACTGGGCCACAGTCCCCAATAGAGAGTACGATTATATCCTCCTACTTTTGTGCATGCTAATTTGTAGGCAGGATGGAGTCTCGCATTGTTAAACCACGAAAAGCACAAAACAAAATGCTTAAAACAACGCACTAAGAATGTGGCGCAGAGCTTGCGTGGACGCTATATCTTTTCTGTGCGTTTTTAGAACTAGATCCTGCGTGTCGCAGCTGCTGTGGTGCTGCCTACACTCAACAACAGCTGGATTACAGGTGTTTTGCAGTTCTTTCCCAGCACTAAAACTGTACGGCCAGTGCCTGGCAATTTGTAGACACGGCAGTCTGACAATTCAGAATACCTTTCATCCAACCCCTGGCGTCCTTAGCAATCACAAGAATTGGCCCAATCACACTCAGTCTGCATGACTTCCGAAACCTTACACCCCAAGCCTTACACCCTAAGCCACTCAAACCCTAAACCCCTATATAAACCCTAAAGCCCTAAACCCCTCAAACCCTAAACTCTTGAACCCTAAAACCCTAAACCCCTAAAACCTTAAACCCCTAAAACCCTTAACCCCTAAAACTTAAAACACAGACCCCTAAACCCCTAAACCCACAAAAGCTCCAGACCAGGTTCCGGAGTGATGGCTTAATTCCTGGCATGTTCCGGGTCAGCCGTTCCTTGGCCGAGCTGTTGTAGGTTGCCTGCCTATTGCTGAACGGATTTAGGCTGTAAGGCTTGTAAGGGTTCAGGGTTTGAGGATTAGGGTTTAGGGTTTAGGGGATTAGGACTTAGGGTTCAGGGTTTTAGGTTTAGTGGTTGGGAGGAAATTGGGCCTGCATGAGAGAGAGAAGTCCTCATAGGAGCCTCAGAAAGCCCCATCGTTCTCAAGCCCCATGCAGCTCCCACTTCATCTTCTATGTGCTGTTGTCCATGTGATTCACCTTTTTGCGGCAATATCCCCTTAAACCCTACAGGATCCCTGTGTGTCCCCATAGCGAGCATAACTTATGTAACGATTATACGGGTTGCTGTTAAGGAGCTCAAATTCGGTTACTATAAAGTAATAAGCAAACTCTTTTATCTACCATTCACCCAGATTATCATAACTCAATTTAAATTCCTTACAGCAGCCCAGTTATTGCAAAGAAGTTTGTCGTGACTCCGCTCTATCCTGTTATTCCATACCTCCGCGGCCACACCTGGAAGGGTTAAGGGGTTTGGGGTTCAGGGTTTAGGATTTAGGGTTTAAGGTTTAGGTTGATTTAGGGTTCCTCCCCCTAGACAGCATATGGACCCCCCACAACATAAGGCCTTAAATTATGCCTGGTAGAGAGTATTGGTGGCTCTCTGGGCCTTTTGGGTTTACTGGTTTGATGCGTGCGCTCCGAGGAAGTTCCATCATGCACACCTGCACCCACATCCTAAATCCTAAACTCTAAACTCAAGTTCCCTAAGCCCCATAGTGGTAGGCTCGCCCCCCTGACATGGATCTCGACCGGGAGCCTTGCCCACGAAAATGTTGTTCAGGGTTGATGGGTGACGTGGCTTGGCTCATGAATCTGCAAACCGTTCAGGCTTTGATGCGAAACGTAAGACAAAACTGGGTGGTGTTTCATTTCCATGGTGTACTCGGTATTCTGCCAAGTAAGAAACCCATTGTAAGGAGTCCGCATGGTTTCTCCAGTTTTCGCGCGAGCTTGTGAAGTCCCAAATGCAATCTGCTCCTTCCACAAAGAAAAGGATGATACTGGGCAAGGCCAACGACAACGACTTAGGTTTTGGCAGAGGCAGCACACTGCCGAAGCCCTCGAAGTTTTGGAACTGTTAACCGCATCATTGGAATATATATACCTTAAAACTTTTCAAAAAAAGAAACAACAGACGACAGCCAATAGAGTGCTTGCATTATGTGTATTCAGGCTTTAAATTGGTCTGCCCTGTCGGCCAAGGCATTTGCAGACCCGTGATGCCTGGCTGCACTGAAGACATTCCTGAGTGGTTCCTATAGAAGCCCAAACCCAAAAGAGTGGATGCTATTTAGTAGTTTCTCTAAATAAGGGTACACCAGTATAGACCCCAAAATGCTATAGCCCTTATGAGGAACCCTAAAAGGGTACCCCTAATTTTAGGAATCACCCAGTTACAGATTTTCGAACCGCGGGGATGCTACGTGGGTCAACAGCATGAAGCTGTGACTCAAGGGCGCTGCTGCCGGAGCAGGTGATGTCAGTATTTTATTTGGGGATACTATGGTACCCAATATAGAGTAAGATTCTATCCTCCTTTTGGGGTATAGTATTTTACATAAGGAGTATAATCTTACTCAGGTGATGTCAGTATTAGGGTGATTCATTAGGATGCCAGCAACATGCCACTTGCAGAGTTTTATAATGCGTTGACAAGGGGTCCGCACTTGCGGCAAGTACGCTCAATTGATGTAATGTGGAAACATGAATACTTGGGAATGTTGGCACAATATCTGTCGTACATAGCAACAAACAGATGTTGCCTCCAAAGACCTTAATGACCTGTCCACTCTAGCAGTGACTGGTAGATGGGGTCATTTGGTTTAGGGTTCTCAACTGAGAGACTCTTTGCATCATCGCCTCAACCGCGTCGTCTATAGAAGGTTACTGTTCCTCTTGCTGAAACCTCGAGCCTTGCAGACCATTTCCATTACCGAACAGTAAGCTGAGTGGCTTAGCACCGGCCTAGCTGGCACGTGAACACATATTGGAGGTGTTGGTACTGGAGCATTCCCAGAGACTGGCGGCTGCAGCAGCATAATTGCCCCCTTGAAGAATAGTCCCATGCAGTACTCAACGCCAAGCTGCGATGATGCAGGGCAGCATGAAACCAATAACGAGACAGCAGGAGTAGGCCTGAACATATCTTTGTCATCACCCTATAACCCTTATATGAGCACTATAAAGCGATAGCACCCCCGTCATCTTTGTATAAGCACTGTAAGGCCATGAAAGATGTTTTTTTTTGATATGGTCCCCCCAAACCTACCCCAGTCAGGATCTACATCTCCCATCAGAAGTTCCTACGCGCCACCATCAGCCGGCTCTGGATGGCATTTCTGGATTTCTGGGAGGTTCTCGCAGCCTTGGGCGTGGCTTGGCCTTAAAGGGGTTCTAGGGAATACATAGGGGTATATAAGGATAGATAGGTACTGTTGATGGAGGAAATCTTGCACCACCTAAAGTCCCTAAAGTCCTAGGAATTTCACTATTGTAGGGCCCCTAGGCGGTGCAAGATTTTATCCATCAACAGTATGTGTGTATATATATATATATGTATATACACATAGGGTTTAGGGTGTAGGGTTTGGGCGGTCTCGCAGGGAAAGGACTGACCTTTGTGGGTACCTTTAGCAGAGGGGTTATAGGGGATTATCTAGGTTTTGCATAGGGTTCAGGGTTTCCCAAAAATTAGGGGTCGCTTTGTGGGGGTTGCTGGAATAGGGACTCTACTATAGTTGGGCCTTTATTGGGGTTCCCCTATTTATGGAAACAACCTTGTAACTGTCTCCAATGGTTCGCACAACCCTTTCCTTCAATCCCTACAAACCACCCTAGCACAAATCTTGATCTCATGGCTAGCGGCTAGTGAACATTACATCAGTGGTACCAGAGTTGTTGCTATGACTAGTAGTGTTGCTTATGTTGTTTTACCCAATACCCTTATCACTACTCGTTTTCCAAAACCCAGCCCTACTTCTACTGCTTGCTATCATTGCTGCAACTCTTACTGCTACTGCGACGCTTCTGTTGCTGCTACTGTTGTTGCCACCATGGCCATTTGTCACTGCGATATTGAGCGCTGTGCGTGCACCTTGGCTCACCAGACGCGCACGTAGACATAGGCCTTGCTCGTGGGATTTTGTTCGAACCCTGAGCCATGTCGAGCGCAGAAGGGCGATACTACGAGGCAGAGTTTCCCGAGCTTCTCGGACTGATTATGATTTGTGAGAAGGGGGTGAGCACAGTGTGCGAAGACAGCCTTCCGAGCTATAGGCTCAATAAACTCAAGATTCCCCGGTATTGATGTGACTTTCCAAATTTCTGTGGGTTGCAGGGTTCGATGGAATATGAATGTTGTTGTAGGCAATATGTTTAGTGATGCTGGCATAAGATGGCATTAAGCTTACAGTTTTCATAGGTCATCGAAGCAACGAGTCTTCGACGGATTTTGTTTTAATACCAAGCAGCAAAAGCCCAGGCTAGAGGAAATCGTGGTCGTGCAGGTAAAGCGTATCGTGGACATGGGCTCCTATGTCTCTCTCCTCGAGTACGACAACCATGAGGGCATGCTCCTCAATAGCGAGCTCTCCAAGAGGCAGGTGCTATCCTTCCACCTTGAACAAGTCGCATGTAGTCCGAAACACCTCGAACTCTAAGCCCTGAGCATCCCTGAGCCCTGAACTCCTATTCAGCTTTAGTAGATGATATTCGAAAAGGAGACACCAACTACTCAGGCCAGATCCTAATGGTACAGAACAGGGACCCCGCTCTGTAGGAATCGCTCAACCCTCAGAGTGAAGGGTTTAGGCATTAATTAGGATGTAGTAAGAAGATTAGTTGTTGTAATAACCAACATGATAGTCATAGAAATAGTAGAAACTGTAATAGTAGACACAACAGGAATAGTAATAGAATTAGCAAGTGCGGTTTAGGATTCAGGGTTAAGGGCAAACAAGCCTGAGCCCCCAAGAGATGCTGCGAGAGGCGGATTCGATCCTTGGCCAAGCTAGTGAAGGTTGGAAAGACCGAAATTTGCATGGTGCTCCGCGTAGATCAGGACCACATGAGCTGTAGCTTAAATTCCTTGACAGGGTTTATTTAGGGGAGTACATAGGGGACTGTGATAGGGGGTATTAAGGGGATACCAGGATTTTCGAATATAGAGCACGTTTTTGGGCTTTGGGGTTTACTAGGGATTTCAGGGCTCAAGTATGAACAGGTCGGAGATGGGCCCTGTATAACCTCTATAATCCCCATAATCCCTAATATAACCCCAATATAACTCCTACATGCCCCCATGGTTTAATTTAGCATTCAGCGCCAGCCTGTCACAGAAGACGGAGAAAAGCGGACAAAGCCCAAAGGCCTAAATCCTCGCGGTTTAGGGTTTAGGGAATCCGTGGGCAACAGTTTTTTTGTCTGCCCAAATACTAGTTCCCAGAAATAGTAAGCGCGACAGGAATATAGACCCCAAAATATTGCAATCCTCATGGGGAGCCCCCAAAAATAGGACGTTTTGTGGAAACCCTCAAATAGGAAGATCGGCTTCGAAGTTGCCGATCTGGACACACCCCAAAGTCTCTTCAACTGAGCCATAGTCTAAACTCCTTTAAGGGGGTTTTAATAGGGGATTATATAGGGGACTACTATAGGGGTTATTAAGGGGGATACTAGGAGTTTAGACTATAGCTCAACTGATCATCAGAAGTTGCCTTGGACCAAAAAGTCCAAAGCCTCAATCCTTACTGCCGCATTCTAAACTTACTGGTGGCTAGTAGGGAAAAGGGGATTGGTCATGTTTTGTGGAGACTATGTAGGGATAATGACAGATCATTGCCTCCTCAGACGGCATAAGCGATACGAGTACCAGCCGCTATAGCCTCCACCAGGAGGATATGCGCATCCAAAACCAGGGCTCAGCTTCAAGAAAAATGACCCTAAACCCTAATGAGCTAGAGCGCTGACCTTCAACCCCCTAAGCAACGTAAGCCCGAGCACTCCTAATCTTTATCCTACACCCTATACTATACCCAACCCGTAAGCCCAAGAGCCTAACCCTAATGGGAACTATATATGTACATATGCATGTTATATATATATATGCACATATTCGCATATGACGGAGTAATGTGTAACATCTAGGGGCAAAATAGGCATGATATTCCCTTATTCCCCACTAAGAACAAATGAGCTGATGCTTCGTCATTTATGGGGTTCCGAGTCCCAGTGCTGTTGGCGTTTCGTGATTGTCTGGTGCACATTGTCTTCAGGCATGGCGCAGTTGTTGATGATTCAAGCTGACTACTGCAGGCACCTCAGGGAGTCCTGGTCTAAAAAAACTGACTTATGTACAAAATGAATTGTGAAGCGGCTTAGTTTCAGGCCGAATTTTTTCTACACGTACTCACTATTACTCCCTGAAGGGTGCTGAACCCAATCTAAATCTTAATTGCTTCTAAGATTCTAGACCCCTACGTATCCAGAAATTACGAAGAACTTCGAGCCCTGAACGTAAACTTGAACCCCTTAGCCCCTAAACCTCTTGACCCGACCCTGACCACTAAAGCCCCGAAACCCTGAGCCCCTGAAACCCAACCTCAACCCTAAGCCCTGATTTTCCCTCACCCCTAAACCCCTCATTCCGTCACCCTGAACCCCTGAAGGAGAAGGGCTACGTGGATTTGTCCAAGAGGCGAGTGGAGCCTGAGGACGCCCAGGCCCAGGAAGTACCCCAAAACTGAGTTGCTTTTACGGATATGATAAAAGCTACAATAAAATGGATATATAGTAGATACTACGGCTTCTTTTATTATCTTTATTAGTGTAGTAACATACTTTAAGTACAGTGACTTAATTTAAGTTCTTCAACAGCAACCCGAAAAAAGTAGGTGTTTCAGGATGCTGTGAGGGATCCTTAGTTGTTCAGGACTTTTCGTGTTTATTTGGTAAAGCTGGCTTCAGGGATTCAGGGTCTTAAGTAAGCCGCAAACCAGATCTGCACCCAGACGTCTAGAAGCATCCAGAAAGTGAATCCACTTATCGGTTCGCACTGGTGGGGGTCTGCTGCTTCAACTCAGCGGCAAAGCAGAAGGGTTTGTACACATTAGGAGTCCATAAGTAGGCACAGGAGTTACCCTCCGCGATCAGCCGCCCGTCAATCTTGTTCATACCAGGCCAAAGAGGAGTCCTTCGCGAAAGCCAAGGCAGTGCATGGCATCATGAGGCTCACTGGCTGTAGAAGGTTTGGGCTTAACTTACTGGGGATTCGTAGGGTATATGGGAATCCATTATATAGGGGTTATATAGAGATGATATGTCCTATTTCCTACTAACAACCAGTACGGTAAGGGGCATGAGGGTGTCGAGATGCTGCAGGGATTTACGGCTACAGGGTTTAAGGTTTGGGGGGTGTAGGATTTTAGGGTCTAGGCTTTCTGAGTAATGCTGCAGTAAACTTTCTGTGGTGTTGCCTGTGCGCGGCAAGATCGACTCGAGGTCGTGGGAGAGAGAGAGAGAGAGAGGATTTTAGGGTTTTGGGTTTAGGGACTCCAGGATCTTTGTTTTTTTTGGGGGGGGGTACAGCTTGTAGGACGTACGGCCTGGGGCATTTCGAGCTTGACGCTGAAAGTGTAGAGAAGGCGCTATAAATGCTTTTTCTCCTGAACCTGCACAGGGGAAGTGTTGCAAATAGTCTTTATGCTTCGTGCGCCAGATACCTCCCAAAATCTGGGCCCCGACACTAGCGATACATGCTTCCAAGCAACACCCGACATGATCCCTATTGACCCGGCCCATCCCCACCCCTGACCTAAAAACTAAACCTTACACCCCAAACCCTAAGCGACACTTCAAAGCCCCAACTTCACACCCTGAGGCCTAAATCCATATAACCTAAACCCAAAACTGTAAACTCTGGAATCCCCCACCTAAACCAAGCCAGGCATGTGGCCCAGACGCACAAGATCCCGGTGAACGAGCTTTGCTGCAAGGCTAGCTGGCCTCTCTACAAGAAGTATTCCAATGCCTTCGAGGCTTACAAGAAGCTGCTAGGCGTTCAAAAGGGGGTCCTAAAACACACCATGGTTTTGCTGATCATAGCCCCTAATAAACGCCTAGAATGGATTTGGGGAGGGTTTGTAGGCAGATTCAGTTGAATTCAGGCGTCCTGCAACGAGTATTTGTCGCCCCATCGCAGAAATGGGGTTCCGTGTTTGATCGGGGGAAGGGCTGAGGGTTAGCATTGTTCTTTTTGTCTCTCCTTCTGCAGTGCCTCCTCTCCCATATGCTACAGACCCAAAGACCACAAAGATGCTCTTCAGCGGGGTTAAGGGTTAATAGTTCCACTTAAGTAGATAGAATATGGCTTTGGGTATATTACAATAAGATCCCCAAAAACCCATATTTCTATCTCACCTACAGGTGAGCAGAGATCAAAACCCTCTAG